TTTCCAAATCACCTCTGTTTTCTTTCTTGGATGGCGTTTGATATTTCCGCGATATTGCCGCACTGAGTGCGGATTGCTTCATTTGAGAAGAAGTCGGTGTACTTCACTCCTAGGATTGTCCTCAGACAGTGGCGTACAGGAGGGCTAATCGGAGGGATGCATGGTACAGGCAAATCTTCGTGGCGTTGCAAATGTCACGTCACAGCCATAGGCATTTCCGAAGAATTGAGAAACCCGACAAGCAGCATTGAGTCCTGAGAGAATGCCATCCTTAATCTGGTAACAGCCTCGCCTTGGGGTATTTTAAAATGTCTACTTTTTTCACGTTGACGGCCAAAAATCACGAAGGGTGCCTTCTCCTGGTCATATATGCAGCATGAAAACTACTAGATCTAACGTCCTGCCACGTGAGCTATGGATCCACATCCTGTCCACTGTGATCGCGTGGGATTTCTCAATCTGCCTGGACTGTAAAATGACCTTTTCGGATATTGTACTTGCGAAATGTGTATAAGTGGCCAGAACATTGAGCGCAATATGCAAGCTAACGTGTATTTTATGCAGTGATCCTAGTTGGTGTAACTAAATGCAGAGGTGTCGCGTAGGGCACCCCTTCAGGTGTGACGATAAGGTACATCGAATCTGGTTAGTAAACCCCGCTCTCTTTCAACGGCGAAAGCCGAATTTTGGGAGTCCAAGAACAATGTCGATATTGTTTGGGTTTGCAACCGACGACTCTGGCAAAGACATTAAATGTCGGGTAGCAACAGAGGAAACAAACCTAAACCATCTCAAATGTCTTGCGTTTATAGGTTGAAATGCGCGTGCGTTATTTTATTTAGTATGGACTCTCTTTCTCAAAACAGAAGAGGTGCACTTTGCTCCAAGGAGCAGTCGCAGGCAAACCACTGCTGCTTGCTCGTCTTCTATGTGTACGGCCTGATGTCCAAAGCTGTGGTAGATTTACTGAATAGCCGCACTGTACATGCCGGTGCTTATGATACACGTGATATCGTCGCAGGTCCAGATACCTTTGAGGGCTTGAAAGCTCCGCGGACAACGATTCAAAAGACGGTCACGTCACTATGAATACTTGGCAAATCACCGGTCATTCATAATTGTAACGCTGTCCACTTCTTGAATCGGACAATCGGTAAGTACAGGGACCATCTTTTTCCGGTCAGAGTTAAATATTAGTTGTAGGGTTGCAGTTTGTAGATTGTTTATTAGAGATAGTCAATGTATACGTCGTGTTAACTTGGCGGTAGCACGGAATTATGGGGAGAACAATTGGCGTTGGC